TAATTTATTATTTATTGTTTTAGTTAAATTATATTAAATGAGATATTGAGTAAGAGCAGTGGCGAGACTTAAGAAGGATTAAAAATAACAAACTGGGTGTAATGTAATATTATAAATTTAACAGTATATACACAGTAAAGGTGCATCCAGAATTAAATTTATCCTAATCTGTTACAATTTATCCATTTTAAGGTAACAGATGTATGGAATGATATACATACATTTATCAGTTAATTTTTATTAAAATGATGCATATGCATCTAGATATATAGTATATTAATAAAATTAGCACACATCCGTTACCTCAATAAAAACATTATTAATTCATCACTCACCAACCGATGCGCAACAGCGGAGTTACATCTGCAACTACGATGTCAACTACGATGATTCTGTAACAAAAAGAATATACAATTCAAATTAAAACAGAACAGAAAGAATCAATCAATAAAAAAAATATTTACTAAACGTAAAGTTCTCTTAAAAATAATAAAATTTTCAAAATACGAAATTTTTATAAGCATCAAATTTTTTAATTCATCATTGAGTAGATATTTTAAAAAATAATATACATTTTTTAAAAGATCTCAAAAATTCGTATATATAAAATTTCAAATAATTTTTAAAAAATTCTTTTTCTAAATATATAATTTTTAAATCACTAAAATAAAACGACTCAAGAATAAATAGAAAAAAGATATTGATTTTACAGCAAAAAATATATTTACTTCAAGGTTGCTCCGCCGGTGTCCGATGTCTCTCCCAGACCTTCTCCTCCTCTCAGAATTGGGTTGACATCCTCTCGCACAGAACACTCGCGTAAAACACTCGCGAATAATATACTATAATCGCGCGCGGACTATAACTTAAGTCCGATAACTTGAACGGCACTCCCGAAACAAACGCGCGACGCGACGAACCGGCTGCGGTTCGTTTATTTTCAAATAAATCGGCGATGAGGATACGTAGCTTCCCCATTGGATTTTTACACGAAGAAAACAATTTTACTCAAGTGTCTAAAAATTTATCTAGAAATCTCATTCAGATAGATCCGATAATTTTTAGATACTTAAGAAAAACCGTTCCTTTCGTATCCTCTGAGTATTGAGCCCTCCAACCATGTCGTACCCGTGAGAGGAAAGATAATCTGAAAAATGTAATATATAGCTATTATCTATATTACTATGCAATTGGTGAACTTTTAGAAACAAATATTAAACACACGTCTGCAATTCATTATTATTGCAAAATAAATTCAGAGCAGATAAAAGGGTTGAATCTTTTATTTATAGATGATTATAGATGATCTGTAAGATATGATTAGAGTCAATAAAATGAGCTTAATAAAAAAGAGATTTATAAAAAAGAGAAATGTTTCTTTTATTATCAATAAATAGTTTGAAAGTTAAAGTTTAATTTTTAAACAGATCGTATAATGAAAGAAACACAAAAACAAAAAATTAATTTAATTATTAAACTATATTAATCGCGAAAGCAAGAATTGTGTTATTTGCATGAAAGTATAATTCATATTAACATACTTTTTTTATGACTCGTATGATACCGTTCGTACAGACAAATAATCGTGTTGCATGCCGCTCTTCTTCATATTTCTGTTTGAAATATATTATAATCGCAAAAAATGCTAAATATAATACGAAATGTTGTATTTTATGAATATTCACATAATACGATTACTAGTATCAAATATGATTAATTATTCATAAAGTATAACGTTTCGTATTACATTTGGCATTCTTCGCGATAAGATTTCAAAAAGTAATATAAAAAAAGAGTCGCATGCTACGACTACGTGTTTGTCTCAAATGTTGTCAAATCTCGGTAAGAAAATAACTGCGCGGTAATTACGTGTAAAGGTGACCGGTGACGCGCCGCTCTGTACCATCCCGTGCCACCTCCGTCCCCTTTCCAAGGCCGCGCGTCAACCGTCCAACTGTCGAAATAAAATATTACGAAATAAAATAATATATTCTTTATAGTTTTAATGTTCTCCGATTAATGAAATAATTTCTTATATGTATCTAGCTTTAGCGGCGTGAGTCATTTAATGTGATATCATAATTATATTATATTATGATACACTGAGGAACATATTTGACATTCATTTTATAATTTTAAATATTTCGTATCAATGTGCCGACAAAAGGCAAGAAGTAAAAAAGGTTTTTATTAACGTAGTTTTTCTTATATAATTGCTTACGTGAAATGCTTTTGATATCCCAACATAGTATCTCAATTTTTTTTGTGATTTACAATTAAATAAAGATTAATAATATATCATACATCCTTTAAATGAAGATAAAAATTTATTTTAAATTATGAAACAATCAATTAAATAGAATGATACATATAAATACTGAATAGCATGCACATACATTTAAAGATATGTAATTTAAATATATAATTTATCTGTTACTTTTCCCGTATTAAGAATGTGTAACACGAAAATGACAAAATTATACGATTCAAAAAAACCATAATTTGAAATATCTAATAATAAAAATCTCATTTTTATACCGTATATGTAAGAACACATGAAATATCTAAAATATTCACAAGCTATGTATGTGCGTAATGAATGTAAGAAATAAAGCAAAAACTGTTGTGCAACAAAACCTATTAATCCTTAGTATATTCCTTAGTTTTAAGCAACCTTACGTTCGTAGATATCAAATTTTTATTAATTAATGTGACATCCGAAGCGATTCGTAAAACACGTCCATCTCCTTCCAAGGTCGCCGAGCGAATGCCAAAGTGATGACGTAGTCAACCACTACGCCGCGCGGCACGCTCCCCCACCCTATTCGCCGCGTGACCTCTCCCCTCGTTGTACGCCGTTCGAACATCCAACTATTGCGTATGAAAAATATTCATGGTTTATTTAATTATTTCGTATTTTCGTATCATATTTTACATGATTTCGACAAACGGGTATCGCTGTACATTTTGCATTTTGCTTTGTGGCATCTTGGGCACAATCCTATATTATCTGCATAGTTCTTTTAAACATAATTAATAATTATTCATATGGAGAATTTTTGATATTAATTCCAATTATTCCAATTATTTGAAATATCTAATTATGTTTCAGTTCTCATTATTCTTTTTAATAATTTATACTTAAATAAAGGTTGATAAAATATTCTATATATTCTTTATATACATATAGATACATGTAAATTTTCTTAATATCGAAACAATTTACGCTAAATATAGCTTTGGCTAAAAGTATTAAATATCTTGTTAATCGTTATTTAATTTTTCAGTTAAAAATTAATTTATAAGACACTATTAGTACTGCATATTTTGTGTTTCAAAAATTTATTAAACTTACTTATAATGCCGATCATGGCTCGATAAAATAACTGTTATGAATTGTTTGAAATAAAAAATATAAAATAAGTTCCAGAAACTTATTTAAAATATAAAATCGTAAAAATCAATAAAAAATTCTGATTCGACTTATTTAAAATAAAAAATATAAAATTAAATTTGGGAAACTTAAAACTTT